TTTTATCAAGCTACCATAATGCATGTAAATGCGATGTTTTCATTTGGTGTCAGATGATCAGTTAATTGCTATCGCAATATTCAAGTGCTGCAAAGTGCTGTGTTTTTCCGCATTTGACGCCGTCAAAATGATTATTTTGATGATTAGTTCCTTGGTATATTGTAATAAAACCGGGATTAAAAAGGTCTATAGATTGCTAGTAGACTAGTCATTATATATCTTAAAAAGTAGCGCAGGGAACTGGACACCAGTCTTAATTTGTTCTTCTTCACACAGGAAACAAAGTCCTTGAGCACTTTTTCAGAGTCAAAACAACTAATGAAAAAATTCAAGCAAATATCTCTCCAAACCATAGGACCCAGCCTCAGGTYGATAAACAAGCATCGCTTGTTAGAGAATTAAAATCTATGATTGAAAAAGACAAGGTTAGTGAAAACATAGCGGTAGTACAGGAGTAGAATACCGCAACGTTGCGAAACTAATAGACTAATAACTAGTGTGGYAAGCATCYATAGATATAACAAAATACTTGATGTTCTTTTTATTCTTTATCAGCGTTAGATCGTAAAAAGAGTTTGCTAAACATACCATCAAAAATCAATTCAATGTAATGCTTTTCATTTTCAGATCGTTAAAGAGGTACAAAGTGACTTGGCAAAAGAAAATGGGCAAAAAATGGGAAACATGTTGCTTCTTTGTTCATCACAACCCAGCCATACATCTGCTTTGAAACGTCKGAATATAAATATTCGTCKGAATATAAATATTCCTGTCGAGGATATCTTCCYTAAAAACCAACAACACGGAGCGCTYTTAGAAAGAAAAATATCAGACAGAGTCCAGGAGTCTTTTCATATAGCAACAGCAACTGCCATACGTCAATACRATTCGATCGTTGGAGAGCTGCAGCAGTTAGTTAGTGACAAAGGATTGGAGTATARGAATATTGTCAATCAAGTACACAATGGAATAAGAACGGCACTGAGTTTAACAGAAAAACCAAGCAGTCCAATCATAAATGAATATGCTCGTGCTTTAACAGAAAAGTTCTCTATGTTGGAGTTATACAGGGAAAAAATACGCCGATTACGAAAAGAAAACCAGGACTCAAAGGAATACATAGTTGAATTGCAAGATGCTTTAGCCTCGACAAAGGAAAGGAACAAGATACCAGACATAGCGATTAGAATTGCTTCAATGATAGAAACAGACAAAGACAATTGTAAACCTTTGCTATCAATTATTACAAATATTCTTGAAAACCAAAATCYTGCAGGAAGGAATACATGGAATGARGATACAAAGTCCCTCTTTMCAATAATTCTGGATTACGGTGGACCCGCCCTTTTAAAACTTGTCCGGGAAAGAATAGGGGGRCCAAGTTTAAATACTGTTTATGTCACTGCAAAATACTCAGCTCCCATTCAAGAACAACTTACACAAGAAACCTTCCACAAAGCAGCCAATTTCTTTGCAGAAATAGGATATAAAGGACCTTTTGTCCTAGCTATCGATGCTACCGCAKTAACTCCTTCCCTTCGCATAAAAGGAAACAAAATAATTGGAATAGCCGCTGAMGAAGAAATTATTGTGAACAGTGCWCAGGACATTARTGACATTACAACTTCAACACAGCATGAAAAGGCTCGACTTGCGAATGCTTTCGTTTTATCTCCCTTGCAAAAGCATGTTCCGTCCTTTGTACTYGCAATTTCACCTGTTATTAACGGTCATGATTACWWRACAGTGAATGGGTGGTTTGAAAATTCCCTTGAATGGGCAGCAGAGTACCYKCTACCTATTCTTGGCATAGGTGCGGATGGWGATTCAAAATTTAGACGATATTATTTGGACAAATTTAAAAAACCGCTACAAGATGTTGGCCTAGTAAACACCATTTCTATTAACCATCGCGGATTTCAATTTCAAAGTGTTATTGAAACAAAAAATGATATGCGCATACCCACAATTATGTTTCCCGATTGGAAACACCTTATAAAAAAATGGAGAAACCAACTCCTTAATGTAAAGAGAATCCTGGTACTAGGAAACGCATACATCCAAATTGAGCACCTCATGAACATATTTGAAAAATACAAACTCAAGAGTGGACTTTGGAAAAGTGACATTTTCATTAAGGACAAGCAGAATGTTGATGCTGCCGTTAGGATTCTTCAAGAACCAGTGCGACATTGCTTAAGAGACTGGGAAGAAAAGAGAACCGAGGCTACCAGAACCTATCTTAAAATAGGTGAACATATTTACAAGTCGTACAGCGAAGACAATTTAGCAGTAAAAGAAAGGTCTCGTCTTGCTTGGTCTGCCGTGACTTTTGTTCGATTATGGAAAGCGTGGGTCGAGTTGTCCAATCATCAACTAGAAACATCATTTATTTCATTACAAACATATAAAGACATTGTCCTTGCCGGACATTCAATAATTCTGACCATGAAAATATTCGCCACCCATTTCCCACATAACAGTTTTCATCCTTACTGTTTCGGTTCAGATAGRTGCGAAAAATTGTTTTCGAGTCTTCGAGGATTTTGCCGAYGTAAATCCAATTTGTGTTTGATGGATATGTTAGACTTGTGTAGAAGAATTCAAAGACTTGAGGAACTTAAGTTTAAAAATGGTAAGATATCATCGGTACAACAAACGGCAACCTGGCAAYCTTCTACAGACACAGAGATAGAACAAGGYATGAAAACYGCTGAAAGAGAGGTAATAAAAACAATTGAGCATTTTGGTATGTTACCATTGCTGATAGCKGGACATGTTTTGCGAAAAGAAGAAGACGGAAATATTGTTTACCTAAATCCGGGTATTGAGTCTTGTTGGACAGATCATAAGTTTGAACCAGATGAACTTAAAACAGTAACAGTGGATGACCTAATTGATATCAACGATGACATTTTGTGTACAGCCATTGAAAATGAGGACGAAAGTCATATKGTCGCCCTCTCAGATCTTGCCAGCGCCGCCTTGTTTACTGATGAAATCGATGACATAGATGAAGATGATCCGAAACACTGTACYTACTTTAAGAATGGTAAATGCCGCTACCTCGATCCGAGCTTCAAAACTAAAAAAAACACCCACTGGATAAAATGTGACAGTTCAACTTGTGATAACTGGTTTCACGAATCATGCCTCGGACTGTGTTTCAAAAGCGAAGAAGAGCGTGCTCAATTCAATTTTTTATGCGAAAATCACTCAAACGTCAAAGAACACTATATCGATCTAGTGAATACCCATAAAAACGACAAGCGCTTACTCGACAATGAAGAAGATGGACCGCCATTAAAAAAGCGCCATTCGTGTGGTAATTCATCGTCGAGTATACATAAAAATCCTTCGCCAATGTATGTAGAGTACGATGGCGAATTCTACCATATCGCAAAATTCCTTTCGCTTCAAGAAGGGAAGGTTTACAGACCATCCACCTCACGCCTTGCTAGYTGGATGGCTGTAGCGAGAGAAGATTTTTATGAAAAAATTTCAACGCTAGTTTCTCCCCAAGTAAGCAAGGAGGGTTTATACCTCAATGACATCGCTGCATTCTGGGTACCCGATCTTCGCCTGAAAATTGGAAAAGTGTTGAGAATAGCACGTCAAGTAACTCATACTTCATCTGCTTCGCCCATTTTTGAATGGAAAAGAACAAATACGTACAAGGATAAAGTGCTGGTATGTATGCTGGTGATGAGCTATGAGGATGTCGAAGGAAGTGAAAGTGAATGGTTTCTACACCAAACCGATAAGGTTTTATGGTGTGAGGCAAACTCACACTTAGCCACTTTTAGAGACATAAGCCCCGACAACACTATCAATGCGGGAGAAATCAAATGCATTTTGCCTGAGCTGGAACAACAAGAAAATGAACGCTGTGCTCGAGAATCACGACTGAAGCAACAAGAAAGAGAAGAAAGAAAGCAGGGTCCACCCGAAGATATGACAATTGTGTTACTCAAGGAAGTTCTCGATGGACTAAATATTACCTACAAATCCAATTCAAAAAAAGCAGAGCTAATCCTCAAAGTAAAACAGGCACGAGTTGCTGCTTCTTTAAACGCTGGTCCGACAAATCCTAGCCGAATAAAGATCCTTGATGTCAGGCCACAGAAATCTGACAGTGTGCGGATTCTGATTAACTTTGTGTATTTTTTCGACAGAAGATGCGAACAAGAAATCCTTCTACTCCAGCATGTATTCTTTCTTTTAAGTATTCTAGAAATGTCCATCGATGTTAATCTTTATCTTATAATTTGCAAAATTTGCCTTATACTGTTTCATGTTTTATCGGGTATGCTTGTTATTTATGTTCTTCAACTGTATCGAATTTGGATTTCTCTACTTTCTTCAACTCCCCAGGCTAAAGTTAATTTTGCTAAGATAACGGCTGGTGTTTCTTTTGATCACATTACATCTTATTAGATCTATACCCAGTACATGCTAGGCCATGTTTCAATAGTTCGTTGTTATTCGATGTCAGTTTTGCATTTATTCTAATTGTTGTGATTTTGATAAATGAAAAAAGTTTTTTAATAATAAACCTCAACATCCCATGATAGAGTTAATAACGTCTTCAGCGTAATCATTTATAAGTAAATTCAGTACAAAACGAAAGAGATAGGAAATCGATAAAAATCGARAAAAATCGATAAAAATCGATAATCACAGCAAAGCTGAATATCGATTTTTATCGATTTCCGATAATAATCGATCGATTATTTACGGTTAATATCGATTAGTATCGATTTTATCGATTAATAGATTTCATCGATTAGTTACGCCGGGCGTTAGCTACCCGTTGATTTTCCGACATTTGGCGCAGAAGTAAAGTATTTCAAAGGACAAAAATGGAGTCATTGTGGTGAAAAAGTTGTTTCAAAAATTGACGCGAGCGCGCTTCCTTTTCCCGCCTTCTCAAAAGTAACCAATCAGAATCGCGATGTACACGGACGGACGTACGGACGGACGTACGGAAGGACAAGTGGGCTTCCTGTGTCGGTTGATCAAAACTCAACTCCATGGGTTTACCATTTTTCCTTAGTTATGGTGCTCCGCTCGCGCGGGCCTTGGGCCCGCGCGGGAGCTCCGCTATAATTTTGTAGAAATATGGGACAGACAGCATGCTTGTGCTATTTATTCCATCACCGGCTTGGTATTTGGAGACATAGATGACAACAGTGCTGTGCATGTCTTAGAGGATTGTGAAGATATTGAATTCACTGAAGACCTACTTGACGAGTGGCATAATATTTTACAAAACAATGAATTATATGAGATGATTATTGACAACATATCATTGTCACAACTCAAAAACTCTTCTTTTGAAGATGACGGTGATATCAGTTTTGATGTGCTCCCCTCAGCAGTTTTATCTACAGTCGAAAATATGACACTGGACAGCTTGTGAATATATTGTCTAGATAAGTATCAACTTATTGTTAATTCACTATTTAGTATATTACAATATATTTTTTGTTACATACAGCTATTTCAAAAAAATGTCGGGGAGAACAGGAACAGCAATTGTTGAAGGGAGATTGCACGACCGAAAGGGACTATGGTTACACTGTTTTGATAAACAAATTTTACTTATTGGATTTACCTTGCATAGAAATGGAGCTGATGTTTACCACATCTTACAGTACAAATCAGTTGTTATTGTCTTTCAACTAGCCTTTCAACTAGCAAAACCCATGGCTACTTCAGTCGTGCAATCACCATTCGACCATTTACACTCACCATTTTATCCAACAACCTTTCTTGAAATAGCTATATACATATACTTTAGAACAAAACACAAGACAACATATAATTGGCTTGTCGAACAAACATTTTTTGCATCTTAGATAATGACGACCACAGTGTAATGTACATTCGTGAAATCCATCAATAGCTCAATCCTTGTACAATTGTCTATGAACCACAGTTATAATCAATCCAACATTAACAAACAAAATATAGTCTATAAACTAGTATAAAGGAAATAATAAGTGGCGAGTTCTTCTAAATATAATGTACATCATACTTGAGTAGCTTTTGTAATGATTTGAGAGAAAAACTTATGAACTTGGAGTTATTTGGATACAATGTATATACATGGGTATCTATACTGATAGTACTGCTATTCATTGTTAATAGTTGGGTGTGAAATCCAAGTTTGACTTATTAGCACTATATGTAACTACCTACTTGTTTATCTAGCTCTAATGCCCATTAACACAGTTTTCTTGTGCATGTTTATCCATTTGTGCAAATTCGAGGCATCTAAATCACACAATCTGTCTTTAACAAAGTTATGGAAATGACTGTATGAACGTTCTTCTTTTTCGGTGAAGATCTCCATTTCTTCGGCCCTTTTGATTAATGCATTTAGGTTCTTCTCAGTTGATGGAGTATAGTGCTTTCCAGACTTTGTTAGACGGTGAATTGAGTTATCTAGATTTTCTAGGATTGATGATGTAACATTCTCTGCTTTACATATTCTTGATATTGCTTCCTTGGTTACATTTGGCCCAAGGTTTTTGTTGCTTTGTTTTATGAAGTTATTGCTATGCTCTGTAGACTCATCAAGGGGAATGTTGGCTCCTCTCTTGCCTTTTTTGTTTACAGATCTATTCCAGATAAATCGGTGGCCGTCTCTCGGTGAAAGTAGAGAATAAATGAGAAAAAATTGGTATAAGCAATCAAGTGAATACTTAGTGCTATGTTCACCATCGGCTTTACAGTAAAGCATGAACTATTTGTATTGTCTAATGAGTCGCAGTCCGTCGCCTTCTTTAGTAGCATCCAGGAAATTGAAGAATAATAAACAATCGGTCAGAAGAGCTTGGTTGTAGTTGTAAACATCATCAGAATACTTCCCCGTATCTTTTACAGTTTCTTTTTTTCCTTTATCTTTAGAATCTGTTGTTGATTCTGTTTTTGCTGTGGAGGGAATTGGAGATGGATCATCTATTATAACTGGTGGATTGTGCTTCACCTCATGCTTTCTCCTGATTTTGCCATTGTATTTAAAAGATTCCTTACAGCCTGGAAACCTACATGGAAATCTTCCTTCAGGAGTTAGCTCTTGTTGGTTGATGATATTCTCCTTCTCTTGTTCAGTCAGTACAGTGTTAACTATTGTGTCAATAGAGGAACAATTATCAAAAATAATTACATCAATGACCTTTCCTGCTAATTGATGGAGATAATCAAGTTTCTCTGATTTGTTTAATTCCTCAATATTGCTGGGTAAGTGGAACTTTGTTGGTTTAGCAGTTTTGCTTGTAAATCCTAGAACTTACTTGGCTTCAACAATTATTCTTGATTCAAAAATAATAGATAGAAAGTCTCTGTCTGGTCGATAGGCTGACTTCACTTCTCCAGTTACATTCCGTCTGTTTATTAAGTTGCGATCAGAAAACAAAGTACAACTGTCTGTTGCTGATTTCCCACTAAAGAATCTTGCATATATTAACTGTGTAAAAACATGCACATATAAATGATTACAATAAATATGTAAACTAGGCATGTACAAATGTAAAAGAAGGAGGGGCAATATTTGCAAATGTTTGTCACTGACATTTTAATGCAATATCTTGTTATATGAGACTGAAGTTTCATTATAGACTTCCCAATGGAAATTTTTATAAACAAAAGTGTCATTTTTATTTTTTGGATTTCTATTTAGTTTAAATAAAATCACTTACACTGAGTAGTTTCACTGCAGCATGCCAATCGCCTAACTGTAAATGAATTCCCTCTAGTCTATCTTTGGGAGTGTAGCCATTTGCCACAGAGGATATT